AGAAGGATAACAATTTGTGAATTTTATAAAGATTTGCTTTATATTACATGAGACTTGCTTTATTTTCTATTGAAAGGAATGTATTCTGTAAATAAAGATTATATAGTTATATGTATATATAAAGATTATATATAGTTATATATACTATATATAAATATATAACTATATATATAATTGTGTTGTTGATTTCATCTATACCTTTACTAATTATTTTCTTGACTTTAAGTCTTATTTAAATCTCCCACTATGAATTTGGGAAAATTTCCCTCTAGTTCTGTCAATTTTTGCTTTATGTACTTTGCAACTGCATCATCAGATGTATAAATTTAGAATATTTCAATCTTTATGCATTGAATCTTTTATTATTATACAGTGTTCTCTCTCCTTTGCCATGCATTTTGATTAATAAAGCTATATCAGTTTAAAAACAAATAACATTTGCATGGTATATTTATTTCCATTCTTTCTAAGTTTTCCTGTCCTATTTTTCTGTGTATCTTGAGAATTGAAAATAAACATTTTCCTTCTTTTATTTACAATTCAGACCATTTACTTTCTTGATTATCAACTTGATTCTCCCATCTTAACTGTGCTATGTCATTTTTCTGTATACTTCTTTTTCCCCTCTTCCTGCTTTCTCAATTGGTTCTTATTTTTTAATCTGCTTTTTATTCAATTTTAATCCTCTGAGAGTTCAAACATCATGTTTTCTATATCTGTCATAGAAATTAGCCAATAAATTTTACCATATATAGTAACAATTTACAAAGTCCAAATTCCACATTTCTATTTCCCTTTTTATCATAAATATTTAACAATTTAACAAAGTATTATTGTAACTATGTATATCTTACATTCCTCTTGTCTCTCCTCTTCCTTTTCCTGATTTTTTGATTCTTCTTCCTTCTCTATCCTCTTCTTTCCATGAAGATTTCACTGTCTTGATTCTCCAACAATGAGTTAAGAGATATTTGTCATCCTCTAGCTGGGGTTCTAATCCTAATATTGTAGTAGAACATTTAGAACATCACATAAATGATATTTTCTGTCACTGACTTGAGTATAGACAGCATGAGTAGAATTTCTGGATCATTTAGAGATTAGAGAGATGATGCTAGTATTCTTCCATGGTGATTATACAAACTCATACTCTTGCCAGAAGTATACAATGGGTTCATTTGCCCCAAAACTCGCTAACAATGCATATTCCAAAAACTTTAATATTTGTTAAGCTTAAATTAAGGAAAACAATATACCATCTCCTTGAAATGAAACATCTATTCTCATGTTTACAGGATATCAGGGATTACTCTTCTTTGAACGGCTTAGTAATATCCTTTATTTTTTCTAGTAGGCTATTTTTATTATTGATTTATTGAGGTTTCTATTTAGGAAATCACCTCTCTCTCTCTCTCTCTCTCTCTCTCTCTCTCTCTCTTTCTGCTTGTGTGTGTGTGTGTGTGTGTGTGTTGTAATAATACCCAGTTATTCAGGAGTTTTATAATCTAATATTCTTTACAAATGCATTTTAATTACAAAATATTTGAGATAATATTAATTTAAAAAGTACTATAAGAAGTTATGCTAAATATTATTAATCTTAATTGGTTTTGTTTTTTAAGTTGTTTTTATTTATTTGTTTGTTTGTTTATTTATTTATTTTGTGGTACTGGAGATTGAATTTAGGGCACTGTATTTGCTATGCAAGAGCTCTACCACTGAGCTACACCCCAAGCCCTGATAATTGCATTTTAACATCTATTGGTGCTATGGAATGTTTGTGTCCCTCAAAAATTCATCTTGAAACTAAATCTTAAAAAAAAATTATTTTAGTTGTTGACGGACCTTTATTTATTTTTACTTATTTATATGCAGTGCCGAGAATCAAACCCAGTGCCTCACACATATAGGGCAAATGCTCTACCACTAAGCCCCAACCCCAGTCCCTCAAAACTAAATCTTATACTATAGTATTAAGTACTAGTACATTTGGGAGTGATTCAGTACTAAGGACTCCTCCCTGGAGAATGAGATCAAATGTCTTATAAAGGATACTTCACACAGCATTTTCTTTTTACCTTTATGCCTAGCATCTTCATCTTGTACTTTCCAGCCTCTAGAACTGTTAGAAATGAATTTGTTCTTTATAAATTATCCAGTCTTAGGTATTTTGTTATAGCAGAACAATCCACCAACTATTCCTGCAGCTTCCTATTTTTCTTTATTTTTCAATTTTCTATACTTTGTAATACTTATATGAAGATACAATGTTTCATAAAAATAATGTATTTTACACAAAAGACTATGATAACTATGCGGCTATTCAAAGGAGAAATGAGTACTGATTCATTTTAGAAGGATCTGTTGAATGTCAATTCAAAGATGGGAAGAGTTTCTTGCTTAAAGGGTGTGTGTGTTCAAGGTCGAGTTAAATTGAACAGTGTTGGTGGATGGGGGAATTCCTTGGGGGGGGTGGGAAGTTAAAGTTTCAGATGGGATATTAAATTGGGTCACTTTTAATTTCTCTAATTTTCAGAGTCAATGATTGATGGTGGACTGAGATGATTACAACCCTAGAGTAGAGGAAAAAGTCTGGTGTGAGATGGATTTGTATTCATCCTCCCCAATTTGAAATAAATGAATCTTCTTTTCTCGGTTGTTTTGTGTAAGAGCTGGTCTTGGTTGTAGAAGGGGCACACAAGGGTATTGTTGGGAAGAACCAATGATTAGTCACATTAATTTCACTATAATGATGAGAACAGGATAGAGCTCTGATAGTGGTTAGTCCTAGCAATGAATGGGGCTTAGGGGTTTTGGATTTGGCATACATCTCACCCCACATTCTCACCATCCTAACTCAAGATCTTGTGAGGAAGAGGACACACTTAAGGGGAGGAGGGACTAAAGCAACTTGTTTTGGATCATTGCTTCTGGGGTTTGGGCGCAGAAGACAGACTTAAACACAGTCCAAAGGATGTGCCAAGACTGGAACCCATGGGCAATATACAAGTATAACAGGGACTTGTCCACGCCTTCCTTGCTTCTATTGAAGGCTAGAGAAAACTCTTCCCAGAGTTAAAGGTATATTTAGGTGGTAGGGAGGGTATGTTTGTGCGCGTTTTAGTGTTAGTAATTTAAGCGGTGCTTAGTTGGAGGTGAGAACCCTTCCTGGATGATTAAGACTGTTAACAGGTCCCCACACTTTGCAGAGTTTTTCTTTGGATAGAATAGGGGTGGTGGCTGGGTGCAGACAGAGAAGATAGCTTGGGAGTGTTGACTGACTACTGCCAAGATGGATATTCTCAGCAAAGAGAAAGAAAACAGGAGACAGGAAGAAAGACCCTGGGGCTTTAAGTGCAGCGGGAGCGGCAGGGAAGGCCAGGGTGCTGCGCGTGGCGAGCCCGCTGGTCCAGGGTCTGGTGGTGGCAAGGTGAGGGCGGGGCCTCGGGAGCGTGGCCACCCACTGGTGCCCCCTCGCACGGTCCCTAGAAAAGCAGCACGGTTCGGGCTGCGATCGGACTCCTGAGCTCCACGCGGCTGGAGTGGACCCACAGCTCAGCTTTCCGCTAGCCAGAGGCTCCCAACGCCCAAGCGCCGCGCCGCCGAGAGGGTTCCCCAGAGCCACTGGGCGCCCAGCGAGCGCTCCAGGCAGATCTCCGAGCTAGGTCTCCCGCCTTTCGCCTGGCTCCGGGGGTGGGTCCTGAGACCTCGTTCCTCCAGAGTCCGAGGCCCCGTGTCTTCCCAGTGAGGAGCAGCTCGCGACTGGACACCGACGAGAGGTACTCGATTTCCGCGCGGGTTCTCTTTTTTGCGTCCCAGAGAGGCGACACAGGGCGGAGGGTGCTGGTCGGGAAGCTAACCTGAAATTCAGGAGGAAGAAAATTCGTCCATCCCACCCCTCTCTTTTTAGAACTCAAATCATAAACTGGCCACTGTCAGCTCCGTTTGAGGAATCTGCACAATTTTCGAGAGGTAAAACGACCTGAATATTCTGTTTGACTTTGTTTGGTCTGTTTTCTCTTTTACCTAACTTTTTGGAGGGAGGAGGTGGAAGGCAATGAAGGAAAGGAGGCGAGTCCTAGGGTTCTGGATCTGCTGTCCTCACTCCAAGTCTCTGAGCTAGCTGTCAAGGTGGTATGCTGTCAGCTGCATTTTTAAAGCCAGTTTGGAAAATAGTAGCTCTGTAGCAATTCATTGCCAACTTAGTCCTTGTTTTCCACTTATGTGCTTAGTCCGAGTTACTGAGCGATCAATTGGCAGGAAAACTTGTGCAAAGAAGCATTAGAAAATGTCAAGATTTTGCTAAACCTAAGTGCCTTGCATCATCTCATACTAGCATGTCTACCTTGATTTTCATGCTCCTTTATGTATGTATGTTAATCTCCAGCCAGCTACTGAACAACCTAAGAGAAGCCACAGATTCACCAGACATTTATCTTTAATGAAAAAATGGAAGCAGCAGTACCTTTGAAACTTAGAATGGTGTTTGAGAGATTCAGTATCATTTCGATTAATAGATTTGTAACAATTGGATTAAAAAATAACTCCCTGTGGTTACACATAGAATGGACTGCATTTTGATCCACTGACTTAAAATGTATTCTGGTAGGAGCCTTCAGTAGGGAGATAAGAGACCTGAGAAGTTGCCAAGCCATATCACTGAGCATTTGTATTAATCTGCAAAGGGAGAAGGTTTCTTCCAGATGTAAAAGTAAGGAAATGAACCTACCACATCTTCATAAACGTGTTGGCTTTCAATGGCTCCCAAGACTGTTTATCAGAATCTTGGTAATCAAGTTGAATTGTAAAATCCTTTCAAAGAAAGGTCTAAGAATCAGCAACTTAGAGGAAAACCAAGAAATACACAGAATTTGGCTCTATCAAAAATATGCTCACTTATTTATAATTTTCTAAGTTTAAATAGATCACTGAGTAATTGAATAATTTTCTTACTAAGTTAAAAATATCCCCCCTTATATATATTTTTTTTTATATAGAATATGGGTTCTGCCACAAGAAGATGGTTCTACCTACTGGGCTGCATTATGCTGATCAATCTGGTTAATGCTGACTTTGAATTTCAAAAGGGAGTGCTTGCCAGTGTCAGCCCAGGGATTACAGAAGACATTGATCTCCAGTGTTGGAATGCTTGCTCTTTGACATTGATAGATCTCAAAGAACTCAAGATAGAGCACAATGTGGATGCTTTCTGGAATTTCATGTTGTTCTTGCAGAAATCCCAGCGGCCTGGACGTTATACTGTCTTCTTAAATATAGCTCAGGATTTTTGGGACATGTATATAGACTGCTTGCTTTCAAGGTCTCATGGAATGGGCAGAAGACAGGTGACACCTTCCAAGTATAATTTTCCATAGAAAATACAGGAGGTAATTTAAATGTGCATTTAAGAGAGTAGCAGTTTAGCTTTATTAAAAATTAAATATTTCATCCTTCTGATTTTTTTCAAGTTTATCAAACAAACTAGCAAATTTGACATGTTTAGATTTTTCCTAATAAGGGTCTTTAATGTTCATTTTTATTGATTTTTATATTATTTAAAAATCACGAGAGCTCTGATATATAAATGCTTGATTCTAAATAATGTTGGAATATAATACAGTTTGATAGATCATTGAAACTATTATTTTATTTTTCACCTACAAATAGCTTATAACATTGTAATTATTCATATTAAATTAATTGATGAAGTTTTAAACACCAGACATACTTTGTCTTTTTAAATTACTTTTTTCAATAGGGTTGTACAAAAGAATAGAATCTCATGAGTCATATTAGAACAAATACTAATTTATCCTTTCTAATCTTACAGGACTGGATTTTATAAAACGTGAGATTTACATTTAAGTGGGAAAACACAGAAAATACCTCAAACAAGATGCCACCAAATGAAAGCTTAAATCTGTCAGTACTTGCGAGGTCAAATATTTCCTATAGTTATTATCAAGATTATAATTTCTAATTCCTTAATTTTGAAGGTTATATATTTTTTTTCTGATGTACAGTTGCTTTTTTGATATTATATTCCCCTCTTTTCAGGTACTTTGTCAATTCTTTTTTATTTAGAAAGCATCTTTGTAAAGTATCTTTGTTTTAAAGAAAATACTACTTAAAATGCAAATGTGATATATGTTTTAATAGTAAATGTAATAAAATTATAACCAATTTTATAAGGTATTTTATACCTTAATATTGACTTTAAAATTGTGCCAAAATTAATTCCAGTATTTTCCTAAAGTGTAATATTTAATTTTGATGTAATGTACCATGTAGCTTCTAAAATGTGCATTTCCTCATCTTATATATTAAAATATTTTTTTATGCATTAAGGACTAAAAACATTTTCCTTTTTATTGTCTGAACTTTTAAAAAAGAACAAAAACAAAAAGGAAGTAAGGAATTTAATTTTAGTAAAGTGCAGTTTAAAGAATTTTTTCTAGGTGTTAGCTCAGTTGATTTTTATATTACTATTTATAATTTACATTTTATTCCAAATGGATATGAAGCTTTATCATGAGATAATTCTAAGTAGGAACTTAGAATGATGGGAAATGGCAATAGGAAGTTAATAATATGCTGTTATGGTTTAGATTAATACTTTGATTACCTTTGGTAAAGGGTACCTACAAATTTGGCCCTAGTTACTTACTTTTCAAAGTGAAGAGAGACTTATGAACAGTTTCAAGATTCACTTGTTTACAAAAACCAAAACCACACATTCAGGAGAAGCCCAGTCTTTCCTAGGACTAAGAACCAATAGAAATCTGTCCTATTGGTTTTTATAAAGGCTATCCTGGTGTAGAGCACTATTATCAAGTATCATTATAATGACAGATCTCGTCTATGCAAACCGAATAGGCACACCAAAACCAACAAAATATAAAAATTTTAAAACAGCAAACATAATACTGAATAAGTTTATAACTATTTGATAGTTTGACTTGATTCAAGAATAAACTTTGATATAAAGGAGGGGGCATTTTCTGAATTATGGATCACCCTAAAATTCCAATGAAGTTACACTAGAGTATACTAGGAGTTTTGTACACACACACACACACACACACACACACACACGAGTGCACACACATCTCACACTTTATAAAAACCAATAGGGTATGTGAACCCCAGGCTAACAATCTTCAATGTTAATGAATGAGCTGACTTCACAGGTTTCAGGCATTCTTTTAAAAATGTAATTCCACATAACAAAGCATTGCATAGTAACTGGGTAGCAAATAATATAAGATTGTAGGTCTAATAAAGTCCTAGATTGAAAATATTTTATTTTACCAATGAATGGTGGATCCCTAAGCTGAGAAAATCAACTGGTTGGAGAGCAGGGCCAATGTTCTCTTAACAATGACCAGACACATACCCAAGAAGATGCATAAAATTTATTTCCTACAGGTGGGCTAAAGAGGTACCTAGAGGCACAGTATCATGATTTTCCTTAGAAAATAATTTGCTTTTATAACCTGTGAGCAGATGATTAAAACTCAGAAGTTTAGTACCGTAAAGCAAGACTGTGTAATTTTTACCTAAAACTGTTCAATCAGTTGTCATCATTTGCTTATAGTTACATAATTTTATTGCATCAATCATAAAAGTTCTACCTTTATTCAATAAAATTAATAGTTAGCCTTCCAAGCTAAATTAGTTACAAATGGTTTCCTTGTTCTCCTAATTTAATATAATATTCTACTGTACTGGACTGTTAAAAATAATGACTGCTGCTAAAATATGCATTCTGTTTTTAAAACAGTTCATCTTAAACCTTTTTGACAGTGATTGGGTATGTTAAAATTCTTTCCAGTTTCTGGTACCAATCTTCCCATCAGTTTATATAAAATCTTATCTTTTTGTTTACCCTTCATTCATTCATAAAATACTCAATGAATTTGAGGAAACATTGGTGAGCAATCCAGACATAATCCTTGATATTCCAAGTAGTCATTGAGGTGGGATGAAAGTAGGGGTAGAGAAAGATAATGTAACTAATTAAAAATCAGTTTTATGATGGGCATGGTGGTGCCTGCCTGTAATCCCAGCAGATCTGGCTGGAGGCTGAGGCAGGAGGATCACAAATTCAAAGCCAGGCTCAGTAGCTTAAGTGTGTCCTTGAGCAACTTAGTGAGACCCTGTCTCAAAAATAAAAAATAAAAAGGGCTAGGGATGTGGCTCAGTGGTTAAGCACCCATGGGTTCAATTCCCAGTATCCAAAAAAACAAAAAGGCGGTTTTATGGATTCCAAATGTAAGTTTACAAAGGAGGTGCCAAAAGATATTGGGTGGAGACCTTATCTATTTTTCTCTTGCCTTATTCAAAATCTGATTGGAACAGTTAAGAGATCTTAAAAATACCCACCAATTCTTGTAGGTTTTTTTTTTTTTTGAGGGGGGTGGTGGTACCTGGGATTGAACTCAGGGGCACTCAACCACTGAGACACAGCCCCAGCCCTATTTTGTATTTTATTTAGAGAAGGGGTCTCACTGAGTTGCTGAGGCTGGCTTTGAACTCGTGATCCTCAGCCTCTTTTGAGCCACTGGGATTATAGACATGTGCTACTGCGCCCAGCCTTGTTTTACTATATAGTGAAAACTCAAATCAGTTCCACAGCTTTGGGTTTATGCTGAATTCATTGAGGTTAACTCAGAACTGGTTATTTTCCAAAGAACTTAAGGCTATAGAGCAAATAAAAGATAGCAAAACATCTAATATTACATGTAAAGTATTTTTTCATCATGATACTAGGCAATAATTGAGTATATATGACTAAAGTGCCTCTGTTCTTCCTGCAGAATTTCTTTTTCCAGTTTTAAATAAACCTCTAATTTTAGAATAGTTTTACATTTGCAGAAAAGTTGCAAGGATAGTACAGTGAGTGCCTGTATACTCTTGCTCATCTTTTCTTTTTTCACCTTACATTATTATGGTACATTTGTCAGAACCAATGAGCCTATGATGATACATTATTAATTAAACTTCTTATTTTATTCAGATTTCACTAGTTTTTTTCCCTAATGTCTCCCTACCCGAGTCCATCCAGGATACCATACTATATTGACTTGTTGACTTGTCATGTCTTCTTGGTTTATCTGGGTTTTAACAATTTCTTAAACTTTGTTTTTGATGACCTGCCAATTTGGGGTATTAATCAGATATATTGTAGAATGTCCTTCAATTTTGGTTTGCCTGATGTTTTTCTCATTGTTAGACTGGGGTTATATGCTTTAGGGATGAAATCACAAGGTAAAGAACTGTTTCAGCCCTTCATATCAAGGGTACATATCAAGATGACTTATTACTGATAGTGTTTAACCTTGGCTAAGATAGTATTTGCTAGGACTTTCTATTGTAAAGTTATTTTCCCCTCTCTTTCTAAACTGTGCTCTTTGGAAGCAAGTCACTAAACACAACCCACAGGTAAGAGAATGGAGAGTTTTATTACATCTCCTTGAAGAGGGAATATTTACATCAACTATCTAGATTTCATGGAGATTTATTTCTTCTCCCCTGGTCCCTTGCCATTAGTATGGATTTATGGACATTTATTTATACTTTGGGTTATAATGTGATATATTTATTTTCTTGGTTAAATTATTCTAGCCTTGGCCACTGACTTTACATTCATCTTTTATATTTTTTGGCTCAGTCTTGTACTTAGTCATTTCTTCAAGGAGCTCTAGTTCCTTTTATTGGGGAATGATATTAGAAATCAAAATCTGAATGCTGCATCTATCTATAGAATTTTGGTCTGATAGTGTCAGGCCAGTTCCTGGACGTCAGGGGATCTGCTTTTCTTGGTCAGAAAGCATCCTTGGCATTTGTTTTGACTGTCAACTAAATACAAGCAATAATGAAACATGGTTGTTATTGAAACTAATGTAATTTTTATATACTTGGCAGAAAGCATGCAAAATCAGCAGGGGCTGGTCTCCTTACACTCTACATGGATCCTGCTATACCTGGAAATCTTTGTTTAGTTTAGCAAGTTACAGTTTTTATAAATATTAACAAACTGTAGCACTTCAGATGGGACTAGCAACATTCATAAAGTTTGGAAACTGCATTATCAGAATTTAATTAGAAAATGATGAAATTAACTGTATATTAGATCTGAAAAGACATGGAGTAGATATCAGAGATGGTTCCTGTGATATAAAATGGACTCTGGTGCTCCAGGAGGTAGACCAAGGACCAGAGGAATGTAAGTTATTCACCTATTACTTACTGGTTTTCACCAGGAGGCACTAACTACATTTTAACCAAGGAATAAACTCCCTCATTACTGAGTTTTTTGAAGCCATTTTATCCATGTTCACTGAATTCCATAATTTTTATTCTTATTTTTCTT